CTTAAGTTCTAATTTTAAGAAAGTGGGCAGTTTTTTTAAAGTCTTTGATTATTTTTTAGTCTATTTATCAAATCTGCTCATCTAATTCAAAATTAATCAACATATAACTCAGTCTTTGGAGATTCTCCTTGATGTGGTTACTAATTTTCTTTAAGTGAGACACTTGTTTGGAGAGAGTTAGTAGATTATTTTTAGCTCTATTACCTTTATTTTCCCCTTGACTCTACTAGCAACAAATCAATTTTAATAAAAATTTATTTGGCTAAACATGCTAGGAGAGTTAATAGTGATGATATTTCCTTTCTTAGCAAAATTTTGAGACTAAAATATTTTTATTAGGATAGTGATTTTAATTGATGATATTTGGCCAAACCGCGTCATTCTAGACGCACACGGCTAAAGAAGTTAGTCCATAAGAGCAAAATTAGATTTGGTACTTAGAATGTTGGGACATTAAATTGTAAATCTGTAGAGGTTGTAGGGGTTATGATTCAAAAGAAAATCAATATCCTTTGCTTGCAAGAAACAAAATGGCGTGGAGAAGAAGCTAAGGATATTCAAGGTTTCAAACTTTGGTATACAGGAAAAGTAAGTGCACGCAATGGAGTAGGCATCATTATAGATAAGGAGTGGAAGAAGAACGTTGTAGAAGTTAGCAGAATTGGAGATAGAATTATTTCTTTAAAAATGATAATTGGACGTGAGACTGTTAATATTGTTAGCGCTTATGCACCACAAGTCGGGACAAAAGCCAGTCTTAAGGAATTATTTTGGGAGGATCTGGAGGGGTTGATTCGACACATACCACAGAGTGAAAAGATTTTTATTGGAGGAGACTTTAATGGGCATGTCGGGAGGGAAGCTGGTCAGTATGCGAGGGTGCATGGTGGTTTTGGTTTTGGAGAGCTAAACAATGAAGGACAAACTCTTCTTGATTTCTCATTGGCGTATGATTTTAAGATTGCCAACACTTGTTTCAAGAAGAGAGATGAGCATCTCATCACTTACAAAAGTGGAGCCTCAAGGTCACAGATTGATTTTCTTTTGGTTAGGAACATAGATAGAAGACTTTGTAAAAATTGTAAGGTGATCCCCGGAGATGCTGTAACGACACAACATAGGGTCCTAGTCCTTGATGTGTGTATTATGAGTAAAATCCAAAAACGTCAACAAATAGTAACACCAAGGATTAGGTGGTGGCAATTAAAAGGTGAGAAGCAAGATATTTTCAAGCGAAATCTTTTGAATAAAGGAATTTGGGATTCTCAGGGAAGTGCTAACATCATATGAGAGGATATGGCGAAAAAGATATGGGAGGTTGCAAAAGTAGTTTTGGGAGAATCAAAAGGTTCTGGTCCGAGAGATAAGGAGTCTTGGTGGTGGAATAATAGTGTACAAGACAAAATCAAGTATAAAAAAAACTGTTTTAAAGCCATACATTTGTGTAACAATGAGGAAAATTGGGAGAGGTACCGTATGGCTAAGAAGGAAACTAAGAGAGCTGTGGGTGAAGCTCGTTCTAAAGCTTTTGAAGAATTTTATAAGAACCTTGAGACGAAGGAAGGAGAGCAAAATATTTATAAGATTGCCAAGAGTAGGGAAATAAAATCAAGAGATCTAGAACAGGTAAGGTGTATTAAGGATGAAGAGGGAAGAATTTTAGTTACAGATGATGAAATTAAAAATAGATGGGAGACTTATTTTTCTAAACTTTTCAATGATGGAGAGGATTCATCTAGTAACTTGGAGGATTTAATAACTGGTAAAGGAGAACAAAATTTGTCATTCTATCGAATAATACGTGATAAGGAGGTAAAGGAAGCTCTTAAGAAAATGGCAAATGGTAGAGCCAACGGACCTGATTGTATATCTATCAAAGCGTGAAAATGTTTAGGTGAAGAAGGGGTGAGATGGTTAACTAAGTTATTTAATGTGATTTTACGGTCCAAGAAAATGCCTGATGAGTGGAGGAGAAGTACATTAATTCCTATTTATAAAAATAAAGGAGATATTCAGAATTGTACTAACTATAGAGGGATTAAACTCATGAGTCACACAATGAAATTGTAGGAGAAAGTAATTGAGCACAGGTTGAGATTGGAGACAAGTATTTCTGAGAATCAATTTGATTTTATGCCAGGTAGATCAACTACAGAGGCGATTTATCTACTAAGGGAATTAATAGAAAAGTATCGTTGTAAAGATAAAGATCCACACATGGTTTTTATTGATTTGGAAAAAGCTTATGACCGTATACCAAGAGAAGTGCTTTGGAAAGCGTTGAAAAAAAAGGGAGTACGGATTGCTTATATTAAAGCCATACAAGATATGTATGAAGGGGTAAAAACTAGTATAAGAACGCCTAGTGGTCAAACAAAGGATTTTCCTATAAAGATTGGACTACATCAAGGATCATCTCTGAGTCCTTATTTGTTCAACTTGATTTTAAATGTTTTGACGGAACATATTCAAGAGGAAATCCCGAAATGTATGCTCTTCGTGGATGATATAGTTCTTATAGCAGAGACAAGAGAAGAGGTTAATTGCAAACTTGAGTTATGGAGGAGGACATTGGAGTCGAAAGGTTTTCGTCTGAGTAGAAGTAAGACGGAATATTTATATTGTAAATTTAGTAAAGGACTATTCGAAAATAATTTGAAAGTGAAATTGGGAGATCAAATTATACCTCAAGTGGAAAAGTTTAGATATTTGGGAGCCATTATTCAAAATGATGGCGAAATCAGTGGAGATATTTCACATAGAATTCAAGTTGGGTGGTTTAATTGGAGAAAAGCTAAAGGAGTTATTTGTGACCGTAAGGTACCTAATAAACTTAAAGGAAAGTTCTATCGCACTGCTATCAGACCGACAATGTTATATAGTAGTGAATGTTGGGTTCTAACGGGATAGCAAGAGCATAAAGTTGGAGTAGCAGAGATGAGAATGTTACGATGGATGTGCGGACATACACGTAAAGATAAAATTCGAAATGAGCACATACGCGAAAAAGTGAGGGTGGCACCTATTGAGGAAAAAATGGTAGAAAATCGGTTGAGATGGTTTGGGCATGTACAAAGAAGAACAAGGGAGGCACCAGTGAGAAGAGTGGAACATATAACTTTGAGTCCAATTAAGAGAGGTAGAGGAAGGCCTAAGAGAATACTCTTGGAAGTTGTTGAACGCGATCTCTTAATTAATAATATTCCTAAAAACTTGATAAATGATAGAGCACAATGGCGTCTTGCAATCCATGTAGCCGACCCCACTTAGTGGGATAAAGGTTTGTTGTTGTTGTTGTTGTTGTAGTGATTTTAATTGTGATCAAAACTTCTACTTCTCAAATTTAGAAAAAATATTGTGAAATCTAGCATAGCTTGTCATAATTAATAATTTGCAGTGAAGTCTAGGGAGTGGGGATACAATTTCTTCGCATAGAAGGCATTGGTCGCCCTTATAGCAGTCAGGTGATATATCCTCCAGTTAGAAGGTATCTAACTTTATAATGCGTCCTTCACTTAATTGGAATCTTACCATGATCAAATCTTTAATATTGTTCCTTTTATTTTAAAGATCCCTATCGCTCTCCGTAGCAATTTTGACCCTATCAAATGGACCAAGAATTCTTTGGATCAACATGTTGTTTGGAATGGTTTTAATGTCTGTCTTCATCAACTTTTCCCAGTTCCTTCAACAAATCACTTTAACTCATCACTCATTTGGTCTTTGAAGATTCAACCCAGAATAATTTTTTTTTCTTTGGAAAAGTGCCTAAAATAGATTGCCAACTTCAACTTTTTAATTAAAACATCATCAATATAAAACAGTTGAAGTTAGTTCCTTTTGATAAATGCAATTAAAAATTAAAAAAATTAAATTTGAATTTCATCAAAGATGATGACGACCATGGTGCTCATTCCTAAATGAGTATGAAAGATAATTCGGATTTAATATTAGAGCTTTTTATAACTTTTATATCAATAAATACAATATTTAAAATATTTAAAAATTAATTTAAAATGAATCACTGAGATCATTTCATAGTGAAATGAAAAGCCAAAATTTGGCTATGTCTGATGCGTAGTGCGCATGCCCCAAGTGCAGATGGAAAATTAAAGCTGGTAATTCGGGTTAAGCTTGACAGGCTAGCCCAAATCCGTTCAAAAAAAGTTAAGGCTAGGTTTGCTTATATAACTTTTTTAAGAGGGTACGATAATTTAAGCTGATCTAAATAAACCAACCCGAATTGAGTTTGGTTTGAATAAGTTCAACCCTTAAAATTTCCATCTCTATGTGTATGTAGAGTAAGTAATTTTGGTCAAACCCGATGGGCCAGCCCAAATTCAATTGAAAAACAATTAAAACCAGGTTTAGTTATATAGAATTTTTTAAAAGGATAAATATTTTAAATTTGATTTGAATAAGCCCAATATAAATTGAGTTACTGGCTTTATAGAAAACTAGAACCACAGCATGATAATTTACAATGGGTTTGTTAGCTAGCTCAATATTGTAATTCGTGTCTATGATATGAATATATTGGGGAATGACACTTTAATACTGAATGGATCACTTTATTCAAGTAAAATTTTAATAAAATTTAAAAAAGTCATTTAAATCCTTAATTGATATTTTTATATACAATCTGTTTCTAATTTTCAAAATTCAAAGAACGTTATAAATTTTTTGAAGCGATCAGACAGTGACTTGATTCTTTCCAAATTTAATCTTACAATTTTCGTTCTCTACTAAAATTGAAGACAGAAATTATAAATTTAATTAGACAAACAATTTCACATATAAAATAATGTTCAAATTCACCCCATGATCTTATAATGTTAATTCGAAATATTTGAATATTATTTTTAACTATTAAATTCCCCTGACAGTCCTCAAATGCTACTTTTCCTTGAATTTTTTTTTTTCCTTCGTCTGAACTTTTCTTTTGGGATCAATCACAGTGATAAAATTGTAAAGAAAAATATAAAATACACACACATGTGTGAAAGGAAAAATGGCTTTTGAGATTAATTGAGACATGCATAACAAGAACATGTTTATTTTCGGTCCCAAAGAAAAAAAAAAACAAGAACATTTTTATTCCTTGGTCCACTTGATAAAGTTTTGAAAATTTCTTATAGATTGACTATCTTCTTTTTCCATGCTTTCCATCACAATCTCCTTCCATTTCAAGCACCTTGCTTTTATATCTTCACAGCCAAGAAGTTGCTCTACCTTCTTCTTGATCTCATCTCTTGATATTACTCCATTCTCATGCTTGTGAAGTCCCAGTCCAGCCTTCCACACCTCACAAATAAAAAACTTGTTCACAAACTGGTCATTGCGAAATGGCCAACACAAGAAAGGTACGCCACCATGTAAACCTTCCACGGTTGAGTTCCAACCACAATGACTAATGAAACAAGCTATTGCATGGTGTTTTAAGACCATCTTCTGTGGGGCCCAACCTACAATTTTACCCTTATTACTAATACATCCCATAAACCCATCTGGGTATGCATGTTTTTCATCATTTCCAGGCCTCACAACCCAAAGAAAAGGCATGTTCAAAAGTTGAAGTCCAAGTGCTAATTCTGTGAACTGGTTTTGGTCTAACAATGACCAGCTACCAAAAGAAACATATATGACAGATTGAGAAGGTTGTTGATCAAGCCAGTGCAAACAAGTTTTGTCTTCTTCCCAAAATGATGTTGGATTGTGGTCACTACTCGTTAACATTGGCCCACCAATTGGTAAGAGCTTTGGTGATGACGAAAAAGCTACAGGTTCAAGTTCATAGACAGTGTTGCAGAGCCACCATTGTGCTGATAACTTGCAAGTTTTTATCTCTTGCTTCAGGTGTTCAAAGTAGACCTTACCCAGGCTGCACCAAGGCAAGTCTTTTGGGTCCATCAGGGGCATGTCTGGAGAAAGCTGAATTTTCTGGGTTTTCACTGGAAGTCCTGCAACGCAAAACGTAAGGTTTTTTTTTTCCCCCCCTCCCTATTGGGGTCAGGATCTAATTAGAATATTCGGTCCCTAGTAAAATTATTCAAGGCCAAAGAAGTACTCATATATATTTGCAAGCAACTACTGAAATTAATAAGAGATATGAGAGATCTTACCATATTCAGAATCAACGACACCATCATCAATGAAACTGTGGATGGAGTCACAGAGAGTCAAGGAAGTTGCAGAGGCAGGCCAGAGCAAAGCACCTTTGATTCCCAAGCTGCTACCAACTTCAAAAGCCCATCCCATATTTATAGTAACAACTATACATGTGATATAATTGTTGTTGTTGCCCTCTAAAGCGTTGATCTCATGGATGAGTTTAGGAAGCCTTGAAGGCATTGTGTTTCTGATTGAAAAAAGCAGTTTCTGGAGGTCTCTTCTTTCATCTTCAGGATCCAAACCATCTGGGAAAGAGACTAGTTTGATCTTTGATCCCAAGAGGTTGTCTTGATGATGATCAGAACTTGCTGCAGCAGCCTTCAGCATCAGTACCTTATTGTGGTTGAACTCTGTGCTGAGGAAAGTGATGTTGCAGCCATTTTTGGCCAAAGCATGAGAGAACTGCATGCTGGGATTCAAGTGTCCTTGTGTTGGGAATGGGATGACAAGGAAGTGAGGGATCCCCATTTCTGTGTTTATGAGTGTGAAAGAGATAAGGTCGAGTTCTGAAGGGCGTGATTTGAAGTCTAATGAATGAATGGGCAGGACTAAGGAGGCCTATTTAATTTATTGGATTATAGAGCAATTTTGTCATTTAACTATTTCCTTAAAAAATTTATTATTTTAAATTTATATGTGGTATAAGTTTTCTTTTCAATTTGTAAAAATAATATATTAGTTACTTCACTGTTAAAACATTTGATCTTGACTGCTGGATCAATTATGATTGAACTACTGACTCATGAATTAGGGGCTCGATTTATTCCATGATTAACCTAATTTTCAGTGATTTGGTGAGAGCTTCTTTCTCTTATAACAGCTCCTCTGCACCTAACATATGATAGCAGGAGATCGGAAAGATTTGGAAAGATCTTATCAAAGCAAACAAAATAATGGTGGTCCTGGCACAAAGAGCCTGACGTGGTGGGTGCTCTTTACTCTTTTTTTTTTTTTTTTTACAATCTATAATTCTATATTAATGAAAGTGCGAGAGAATAAGGTAAAGGTGATGGAACAAGAATAATTAAAAAATGCTTAAAAGGTGAATAAAGATACAATCCACCACAGAATGCGAGTTGTTGCTTTGGAAACGGGATGGCGAGAAAGTGAAACATCCCTATCTTTTGAAATGCTTGATTTGAAGTCCGAAGAGTGAACGGGTTTAAAGAGGTCTATTTAATTTATTTCAGACTTTGATACATGATTTGTAGAAGCGGTGTACTTTCTCTTGTTTTATTCATAAGACATATTTTAAAAAATTTATTTAATTTTATTTATAAATTATAATATTATTTTTAAAATAATATTTAAAAAATATTTTTAAAATTATTCTTTATGTAAGAAAAATAATATAATATTATTTTTTAAATTTAGTATCTAATTGATTTGGTTAGGATAAACAGGAATATTGGGGTTAAAAAAACAAAACAAAAAACAAAACAGCAAGACACAAGCAAAAGCGAGGGAGCTTCTCTCTCTGGTTTGGGTCAAAGCTTTTCCGTCCCTTGCACATAATAATAGGAGGAGGTTGAAAAGATTTTTTTTTTTTTAGTTTAGGGCCCTTTTGTTTTCTATTTTTAAAATTTATTTTTTATTTTTAAAAATAAAAAGATTTAAAAATTTCTTTAGATAAGTGTTATTTATTTATTTTTTTAAAAATTATTTTTATTTTTTAAAAAAACAAGAAAATAGAAATAACTTTAAAACAAGAAAATAGAAACAACTTTAAGTTGTTTCTAATTTCTTTTTTTTTAAAATACAATCCATTTGATTATTGAAAATTATAGTTATTTTGATTAATGTCTATTATTAATTAAAATTATTAAATGCTTATAACAATCATTATCAGTTTATTTTCTTATTTTTAAAAGTGTTTTTAAATTGACATAACAAAATAAATTTTTATTTTATTTTATTTTAAAAGTAATTTTAAAAACTACATTAGAAAATAGTTTTTAAAAATAAAAAATAAAAAGCAGAAACCGAACAGATCCTCAATTCCTCTCCTCTGTCTCCCACTTTTTTGTTTCCTTTTCTTCTTCACATCAGCAAAATAAATAATTTAGATTTAATTGTTTTAAAAAAATTAATCATAATATCATATAAAATTAAACAAATAATTTTAAGCGGTTAAAATTTGACATGTACAATTAACAGCTCGGTATTGTTATAAAAAATTTTATAAATGAATTTTTATTTATTTTGTTTATTTTAGTTATAAATTGTACAATTTTCATAGTTTAAATTTATTTGTTTACTTTTCAATGTAATATTATATAGTTAATTGTTTATAAACCAATTAAATCTAAATCATTCACTCTTTATCTTAGAGATGATGAGATGAGGAGAAGAAAAGAAGAAAGAAAAATAGGGAGAGGATTTGCTTCCCACTTTATAGGGTTCATCTGCGAAGCACACTTGTGCTTATAAGTGTTTTATTTAAAAATATATATTGATAATCCAAATTTAAAATTTATATTTATAAAGATATAGTCAATCATAGAATGCGGGTTGTTTTTCATGAAGATGCTTAGGCAAACTAGATTTTTTTTTTTTTTAAACACTGGATAAACAAACTTGTGCTTAGGCTATTTGAGAGATCTTAAATAGAGATCATTCAGCGAAGAGCCATTCTTAGAGCCAAAAGAGTTAGCTGACTTGAAAAATGCAGTTACAAAAAAAAAAAAAAAAAAGAATGAGACACTTATTAAATTCTTGTGATTTTCCTGTTGGGTTGATAAATGCAATTAAAAAATAAAAAAAAAATAAAAGCCCTGAGAGATAGATTAGGAGAAGCCAAGTTTGTTTTTCCTTTGTTTGCTTGGTAGACTTCCAGTCAGAAAAGTGAGGGGCGGCTAGAATTGATGGTCCAGATGGGGTGATTAATTGATGGAATAGGAATGGAGATGAGGTTTTAAATCTTACCCTTCTAGTTTTATTTATAGGTAGGATGATAGAATTTGTTTTTGTTTTATTTATAAGGGACATTTATGATTATTGTATATATTTTTACTTTTTATTTCTATTAAATATTGAAAAAAATTATTAAATGATAAAGTATTTTATATTTTAAGTACATATACTTAATAATAAAAAAGGTAAAAGCTTGTTGAATTTTTAGAAAGAGCTAATAAAATTTAATAATTTTCTTAGTTTTGATGCAAATACAAAAAAAAAATTTATAAATAAGACTAAACAAAATATTTTGTAAGAAAGTGAAAGTGATATAATTATGAATGAAGAGAAAGCTTTTAATGGTGGCTGATGGAAGGGGGATTAAGGGGGTATTTGGAACAAATGATTTCATTTCTTTTTGTTCAAATTGTGTGAGCAATGATAATGACATGGGTGGAGGCCAAATACTCCCTCTATTGTTAAATATAGGAGAAAATAATTAATTCATACATTTTAAAACAGTTGGCAAGTATAATAAATATGTATGAAATTAAAATACTTGAACTAAATTATACTTGTAATAATAAAATAAATTTTTCTAATAAAAATAAACATTGAGTTTATAAGAACAATTTAAAAAAATATGATGAATTTTTTTAAAAAAATTTACACTTTTGCTTATAAATAGAAACAAAGAGACATTTAGTAGTTTCTCTTATGTTTGAAAACAAAGGGAGCATTATATACTTGAAAAAGGGGAGTCTTCTTTGCTTATGTCTGTTGGGATCTTTGAGTGGTTGTGTTTGGACCTACAAATGTCTACATTTAAATAAAAATTCAAAAGAGCAAAAAGTGAAGAGTTAGGCTTGATAAGACATCCTATAATGACTTTTGTCATTATTCAATCATAAACTCATAACTAAAACTAAGGATTAACCTTGTAGATATAAGAAGTTTGAAACTGTACCTGTTAGTGCATTGGACAATACCTCTATGCAGATGACTGAGTTACTTGAATTTTGCCTCTAGTTCACAACAAACACACCACTAAGTGAAAAAGGAGAAGAAAATGAAGTATTTACTAAGTGTAACCTTATGGAGACAATCATCAGGATTTAAATATAGCCTCAAACACTATATAACTTCAAGCCCATACATGGTTAGTTTCTGAACGTGCATCTCCTGAAAATTGTTCCCACACACAAAAATGAAAATATTACACTCAAGGGCCCAAATATCTTATTAATATCAAGATGAGCCCAATAACATCCTCGATTTTAAACTAGATTAAATAAGGCCAATTTGATTAAGTAAGTGTGTTAATGAGATGCATGGCCAGAGAGGCCTAATGGGCGTATTTGGTTTCAATTTCAGCCTTAAATGTGGGTTTGAAGGAAAATCAAATCACTCGGAAATGAAAGAGGAAGAAATTCTGAGAAGGGAGATTCTGTGCCATAACGTATGTGTGGCAACACACCTAGAGAGAGGCTCTCTGTGCCATAGGTCGTGGCATATTGTGCGTCCACTATGGTGCATAGTCTTATTTATACTGTCATAAGTCACAAAATGAAACAAAAAATAAAGGAAAAATAAAGGAAGCTGAGAGAGAGGCAAAAGAACAGTGCTAAGGCTTGGAGAAATTGAGTATTTGGAGTATTTTTTGGAACTCCTAAACATCAAAGGTAAGCTTCCTTAAATATTTCTCTCACCTTCCATTTTCTTGATGGTAGAAGTTAGGGTTTGATTGATAATAGTGATTTTCGATCCATAGAGGTTATGGATCTGAATTCATTAACTTAAATAAAGTTAATAGAAGTAGATTGAGCTAAATAAACTTGGTATCAATTTTTTTGATTGTGAGAACTGGTCTATAGATTGTGTTGAGTTGTGCTTGTTGTTTGTGCATTTGCATTTGCATATAGATTTGGCAATTGTCATTATACACATATTATTTTCCTCTCTTAAGCTAATACTAATCCTTTTCTTTTGTGGGATGACTTTCATCCTTAGGAGGGGAGAATGGTTCCAATGAAAAAAAAAACTAGCAATATTTTGATAAACTTATCTAGATAAGAATAAGAAGACTTGGTAGAAGTTGAGGATGAGATAGTCCCAAATAAAGAAGAACAAGTAGAAATGGGACAAGACCAAGAACAACCCATACACCCCTTGAGCAAGGATAATGTATTGCTTAAGTTAAGAGCAATGATGGAGAGAATTGAGAAGAGGTTAGATGAGCATGATAGAATTCTTGAGAAGAAGCCCGAGGAAGGGTGTAGTGGTATGGTTGAAAAAGTCAGAGGTAACCACAAGAAGAAGAAGCGAGTTCAGATACTTGAAGAGATGCAACGGCACAAAGATGAGGAGTCCTATGAGGAGAGTATACCAAAGAGGCCAATGCATTTTATGACGTTAACTGAGAAGGAGCATGAGGGCTCTATTGATTATGCACTCAAGATATTCAAGAGACTGAATCCTCCTCACTTCAGCGATTCCATAGAGGATAAAGCCAGTGAGAAGTGAACTGATCGGTTGGAGATAATATTCTTTATGATGACATGCACAACAAAACAGCGGGTACTCTTAGTTACCTTTATGCTAGAGGATGCTGCCAAACAATGGTAGGAGAACATGAGGCTAGTTGATGGCTCTTTACTTGCATGGAAGGAATTCAAGAAAAGATTCTTCGCTCACTATTTCCCTTCTACCTTTAGAGCTAAGAAGGAATCTGAGTTTCATCATCTAC